AGCCTCGATGTTGCTGCGCAGGGCGGGCAGAGGCTTTGCAAGAACCTTCTTGTGCAGCCCCAGCAACTTGTCATTGAGGCTGCCCTCTCGCCCCGTCTTCCTGCTCTGGGAAGCAGCAGTGCTCGCACGGGTGTTAGGATGAGGAGCAGGCTGAGTGGCGGTGGCTTTGCTGCCGTTAGGTGCCCTGACAGTGTATCTTCTTGTCATTGCAGCCCTGCTGTATGCTGGGTCCTGGCATGCCACTGCCTGCTGGTAGGGTCCCCGGCTCTCAGCGCTGTTGTTGCGCAGGACCGCGCTCACATTTCTTGTGCCCTGCGCTGTGGCACAGGCTGTGGGCCTGTGTGGGGCAGGCTGCCAGCTCCGTGGCCTCGCAACAGTGCTGCCATGTGCGGGGATGTGGTGCTGCTGGGCAGCGGTTGTGCAAAGCTGCTTTTGGCTGTTGCTTGTCCTGCCGATGGCCATGTCAGTGAATCTGGCTGCAGGGGCAGAGGGTGCCCATGTCGGGCGAGGCAGCCTGCTGGCTTCTCTCACTGGCCGAGGTGGCGGCCGAGGTGTCCTTTCCACCACCACTGGCCGAGGAAGTGTCTGCTCCTCTGTCCTCATGCTGCGGGGCAGCACCGCTCTGCACCTCACGCTGCCCACCTGCAAGAGAAGTCGAGGAGAGAGGCTCTGTGATAGTGTCTCTTGCGCCCGTATCCCAGCTGTTGGGAGCTCATGCAGTTGGGCTCCCCTGCCAGCCCCACGGCAAGGCTCAGGCCCACAGGTGGCTGCTGCCTGCTCCCAGAGCTGGCTGGGGAAAGGGCTGGCCACCCGCCGGCCATGGCCCCAGCCCACAGCAGCCCCGGCATGCCCGTGGTTGGGAAGGTGTTTGGCCCTGTCTCCCTCGGGGTCCCTACCTGTTCCTGCTGGGTCTCGATGGGCTGATACCTTCGTTGGTAGGGCAGCTGTGGTACCGTGATCCCACGCCGCCCTTCCTCAGGCTGTGGCCTGTGGCCCACCTGCGGGCAGGAGGAGGAGGAAGAGGTGTGTGATGGAGGCGGCTGCCTTGGCACAGCAGCCCCCGCAGTGCCGGCAAGCCCGGCCCCGGCCCCGAGGCAGCTCCATGTGGCCCCGTCCCACCACCGGCCTCTCACTCCTGCCCCAGCCCTCACCTGGCGCCTCCTTTGCACTCCTGGCCTGCCCTCGGCAGGCTGGGAGCGGGCGTTCGATCCCTTGTCCACTGGCATCTTCTGTGTCCTCGGATGCAGACTTGCTGTGGATTCACAGGGCAACTGCCACCTCTAGGGTGCGCCAGGGCCTTAAATACCCCACATAAGAGTCGTAACAATGCCCCCGTGGTTTCCACGGAGACGCCGATGCCCTCACCAGTTCCAAAGGGTCCCAGCTCCTCATGGGCAACTCCACAGCAACCACTGAAGCTTTGTGACAGCGGCAGCATCGTGCCCATGGCCACTGGGCAGTCAGGGATGCACTTTTCTCCTCCCTGTTTTTTTCCTTGACAAGAAGAAAAGGGAACGGAGAAAAGAAAGACCGGTAAAAGAAGGAAAAAAACAACAAAAATAATGAAATCATTCTTGTGAGACCTCACCTGGAGTACTGTGTGCAGTTCTGGTTTACTCAACATAAAAAGAACATGAAACCAACACCCCCAAGTCCTTCTCCGCAGGGCTGCTCTGAATCTCTTCTCTGCCCAACCTGTAGCTGTGCCTGGGATTGGTCTGACCCAGCTGTAGGACCTTGCACTTGGCATGCTTAAACTTCATGAGGTTGGCATCAGCCCACCTCACAAGCATGTCGAGGTCCCTCTGCATGGCATTCCTTCCCTCCAGCCTCCATTTTTAACACCTACCCACACACCAAGGATCTTTGCTTTGAGGCTTTTTCTCATGTTAGAAACCATCCCTCCCTCACCTCGTGTTTCCTGAGGAGTACCTGTCAAATTTACCACTACTAGCTACTTGGTTTCAACAAATGCCATCCATAGCTGTACAGCAATGGAACAGTTTGTTAAGTAGCCTGTGCTCCCTTTTCTGGCATCCTTGGTTTTGTCTTACCTAAAAGGGATCTACTTGCTGCCTGAATTAAGACTGAACAGCAGAGGTCCAACCTACTTTGATGTTAAATACAACCTGACACACACGAAACCTGATCTACATAAACATCTGAAGAAAATCTTTCTTATCATGCTTCTAATTTAGCCCCAGACAAAAAGACACCCTTCTACCTCATCACTTCTTGGCCTATGTTTTCACTTCGTCTCAGCCATTCCCACTTTAGCTGGGCAAACACAAGTGTCTCTTTCATTGCACAGGGCTGTGATGGCCACAGATCAAGCAGCAGCTCTCACTTGGCACTCATGGAAAAAGTATTAAATGCTTCAGTGATATGTATCTCACTCCAGTTAGCAGCAAGTCAGAGGGAAGAACATAATACTAAAGCATAAACACCCCATTCTGGATCTCCTTAAAAAGCTACCTCCCAAATCTGTCAGGAAGAGGTACAAAACTTCTTTCACACTGAAAGCTATCAGAAATTAGAATCACAGCATCACAGAATGGCTTGGCTTTGAAAGGACCTTAAGCTCATCCAGTTCCAACCCCTTGCCAAAGGCAGGGACACCTCACACTAGACATGTCTCTCAAGGCTCTGTGCAACCTGGCCTTGAACACTGCCAAGGATGGAACATTCACCACTTCTCTGGCCTCATCACCCTCACAGTAAAGAACTTCTTCCTTATATTAGCCTTGGGAATATTCATTCTGGCTGGGAAGAAATGATAACACTTACCTGGTTCAGCAAGTAAAGGATTTTGGTAAGGATGTGCAGACATCTTCGTGGATTTATAGGGGTCTCGTTAAAGATACGAGCCTACAGACACAGCATAAAGAGAGTATTACAGTGTAACTCAACAATCATCATTTCTCTTTCATCATAAAAAGTAAAGCCGTTTGTTTTCAACCAAGTAGCTTTTCATTCTAAAAATGTGTCCCAGAGAACATATTCTTGGTGAGAACATCCTAAGAAAGCTAGATTAAACTTTGGATTTAGCCCAGTGTAAATTCCTTCTCTGATCTCTTTTGCAGAGTGTAAGAACTCAGAAGAGTTTTTATTCATTAATTTTTGTTCACTATAAACTGGCACCTCAGGTGTTTAGAGATTTGCCTGAGGAATGTTGAACATGGAACTGTGTTGGAACTACAGAGTGCTTGGGACCTTTCTCATATCCATGTGTTGGAAGGGCGGGAGGGGTGGTTGATGTAAATGTGTTATTTGCTTTCCAAGAGTTAAAGTGTCAGTGCTCTTTGGATATTTGCTTTACAATAGCAAATAGATCAGAGGAAGTTGGGTTTAAAGCTTTTAAGTGATAACTGTGAGGCTTCTGCATTCAGATGTTTCACTTCTATCATGATTAACGTGGATTTTTGGTTTTAGTCTTATCTTACAAGATAGAGATATGTTTATTCTCCTGATTTGTTTGATAACTGACAGTAAGGCTATTCCCCAGTTATCAAACACAATTTAACTTGTGTGCTTTGTACACCACTGCTTTATCTTTGTATAGAAGTGGGGAAGAGGGTGTTCTATTTAAAAGCTTGCTCAAAATTTAAAGTTGAATATTTGAACTTTTATTTAACTTCAAAACTTGTAGGAAGTGTTTATTTATGCTTGCCATTGGAACAGGCTGCCCAGGGAGGTTGTGGAGTCTCCATCTTTGGAGACATTCAAAACCCGCCTGGACACATTCCTGTGTAACATTATGTAGGTGTTCCCGCTCCGGAAGCGGGACTGGACGAGATGATCTTTTGAGGTCTCTTCCAATCTCTAGCATACTGTGTGTAAACTAGAACTAATTGCAACAGATAGGTAGCCGCTTAGATTGAAGTCAGTTGTTTTACGTTAATTAAATATAGAGGTCCGTGAATTACACAAACATGCTCTAACCAACATACAGGCAGAGACGAGCAGTGGGGGGGGAAACGAGTTATTATTTATTGGCCCAAGAAAGCAGCCACAACAAGTGCAGGCTGCAGCATGACATCCTCAGCACAGCTGCCTTGGGCCTGGCGCTGGCAGCAGGGCGCTACTCCTCCACACGTGGGGTGAGGCATGAGCAAGTGAAAGCCTTGCGCAGAGCCCTCAGCACTCTCCTGAAGCGGGAGAGTCGTCGCCGTGGGGCCGCTCCTTGGTCTGGAAGAGTGGCAATGCCTGTGGAGGAAGAAGAGCTGTAGGCAAGGGACTTCCTTTGGCAACCCGTTCCAGTGCCTCACCACCCTTACAGTAAAGAACTTCTCCTTAACAGCATCCTCATTGGCCTCCTTCAGATACTGGAAGGTCTGCTAGGAGGTCTCCACGCAGCCTTCGGCCCATGGAGGGGAGGCTGGGACACACCCGAACTCACGCAAACACTGCTGCCGGTCTGGCCTGGGTGCCACCCAACTCGGGCAAGTACCTGGCTGGTTCTCGCTGTCCTGAACTACAGCAGGCGACGTTGACGGTGACTCCACATCCAAGCTTTGTGCCACGTCTGGCTCTTTCACCTGCTGCTGCCTTGTTCCCTGGATGACAGTCACAGCCTTGCCCAGGTGTTTCCTCACAAAGCGTCTGAGCCTACCCTGCAGGGTAGCAAGAGCACAGGCAGGGGATGGGGGCAATGTCAGTGGGATGACACAGGCAGCACCAGAAATAGCCCTGTCACAAAACCTGGGAGCTGCCGTCCAAGGCCTTGGGATCCCCGGTGCCAACCACACGCGCCTCACTCACCTGGCGCCGAGAGTCCCGACACAAGGGAGAAGCTGCTGCATCTCCACTATCATCTGCTCCTGGAGGAATGTGGGATGTTCCAGGCTCTGTTGCAGGGATCTCAGTCAAGAAAGCAGCCACTTCATCCTCAGGCACTGTTGGGGAGGCAGCGGCTGCACTGGCCTCTCCCTGAGGCTCCGAAGCCACAGCAGACTCAACGTGCTCAGGTGCTGCAGGCGTCAGTGCTGCCATTGACACACTCAGGATTTGGGTCATGTCCTGATACTCCACCAGCTGTTGGCTGGTTCCCTCTCCTGTTGCGTCCATGCCCATGCTGGTGGGGCAGCTGGATCCCTCCTGGGGATCTGCATGGGTGTCCTGGAAGTGGTCTGGGACTGAGAGGTTGACCCAGAGGTTGCGTATGGTGATCTCTTCCACTTCAGAAAGCTCTTTGTCCATGGCCTCTTCCCATTCCTCTTCTTCCTTTCCGTCCAACTCCTCATCGTCAGCTTCCTCGCCCAAGGTCCCTGGCGCTTCCTGTAAACACACAACAGGGATGCAGAAAATGAGTTGAGGGAGCAGTGGCTGGCCACAGGCAGAGGAAGGCTCATCCCGCTGTCCTGTCCCATCCTGTCCTTGGCACTCACCTGCCTGTGACTGGGCATCCGTCCCCGCCGCAAGGCGAAACGAGGCCTCTGGCCCTCCTGCTGCTGGAGCTCCCTTTCCACAGAGCTGCCCAGCAGCCAAGGCAGGCTGGCTCTCCTTTGCATGTCGAGCCTGTGACTGGTGTGGGCCATGCTGCTCCTCTCCGGCTCCTCCAGAGGCTCTGGCATAGGGAGCAGCAGGAATCTCTCTGCCACAGGTAGCCCATGCGAGACTCCTGCTTGAATCTCCACAGTATCTCCGGTGCCAGCCATATGTGCCTCGCTCACCGGGTGCCCAGATTCACGATCAAAGGCAGAAGCTCCTGCTTCTCCTTCGTTGGCTGCTTCTGGGGCAGAGTGGCATGCTCCAGCCTCTGGCACAGGCATCTCAGGCCATGAAGCTGCCACTTCCTCTCTCTGTGTTTCTGGCAAGACAATGGCTGTTTCAGCCTCTCCTTGATGGTCTCCACACACAGGAGACTCAGTGTCCCCAGTCCACACAGATGCCATTAGTGCCATTGCCTCATCTGAGTTTTGGGACATGTCCCGATGTTCCGCCAGCTGCTGGCTGGCTCCCTGGACAACGGCCAGGCTCATGATCAGGACCTCTTCAGAGATGGTCCTGGCCGTTTCTTCTACAACCACCTCACAGGCATCAGGGCTGAGCAGGGCAGGTACCTGCCTCTGTGCCTGTGGTGCTGCCTCCTGCTCGACGCAGGCAGGAGAAACTGGTGCCGGTTCCACCTCCTCCTGTGCCACTGGAGTGAGACGTGCGCGGTGCTCCTCTTCCTCCGCAGATGCAGCTAATGTAGAAGCTGTCGACTCAGTGGCTGTGGGTCCGGCTGGGATAGGAGACGTGTTCTGCAGGTCTCCACCTGCCTCCCCTGTCACTTCAATGTCCATGCTGCTGGGGAAGTCAGACCCCTCCTGGATATCGGCCTGGGGGTCCTGGAAGAGCTCTGGGACCGAGGGGTTGACCCAGAGGTTGCGTATGATGATCTCTTCCACTTGGGACAGCACTTTATCAATGTCCTCTACCCACTCTTTCTCCTCTTTGTCCACTGCCGCATCCAGCATTTGGGTCATGCCCTGAGGTTCCAGCAGCTGCTGGCTGGTTTCCTGATCCACTGCCACAGCCTGGACCAGAGGCTCCCTTGTGCTGAGCAGGGCTGCTCCCTGTGGAACCAACTCACAGGCATCTGGGCTGAGCAGGACAGATGCCTGACTCTCTGCCTCTGGTGCTGCCTCCGGTGCTGCCTCCTCATCACCATTGTGAGAAGAATCTGTTTCCTCTGCCTCCTCCTCGATCATATTCCAGAACTGGGAGCTTGCACCGACACTGGGTGTGACACGCACTTTTGCATCTCTTACTATGATGCTGTCGGAGGCAGGTGCATTGCACTGTGCTTCTGCTGCCAGAGCTTGACTGTCAAAGCCACAAGAGGCTGCGGTCTCTGCCTCCTCCTCAACAGCATCTCTGAAATGGACCTTCCTGAGGATGCTCTTGGGTGTGACCTTCATATCCATGTTGCTTTCTTTGTGGCTGTGCGGGGCAGGTGCCCGGCCCTGTGCTCGTCCTGCTGCAGCCTGCCTGCCGATGGCGGGAGAGGCTGGTGCCTCTATCACCTCGACACCAGCTCTGAAAGGAAGCTTCTTGACGCACCTGGATGGGAAATTCAGATCTGCGTCATTTTCTGCTGAGCTGTTCATGGCAGGTGCCTGGCGCTGGGCTTGTGCTGCAGCAGCCTGCCTGCTAAAGCCACGAGATGCTGGTGCTGGTGCCATGGGAACGAGAGGTGCCTGGTACTCCTCTTCCTCAGGAGCTCTGGCCAAGCGGCTCCTCCTGGCGTGTTGCAAAGCCTCGATGTTGCTGCGCAGGGCGGGCAGAGGCTTTGCAAGAACCTTCTTGTGCGGCCCCAGCAACTTGTCATTGAGGCTGCCCTCTCGCCCCGTCTTCCTGCTCTGGGAAGCAGCAGTGCTCGCACGGGTGTTAGGATCAGGAGCAGGCTGAGTGGCGGTGGCTTTGCTGCCGTTAGGTGCCCTGACAGTGTATCTTCTTGTCATTGCAGCCCTGCTGTATGCTGGGTCCTGGCATGCCACTGCCTGCTGGTAGGGTCCCCGGCTCTCAGCGCTGTTGTTGCGCAGGACCGCGCTCACATTTCTTGTGCCCTGCGCTGTGGCACAGGCTGTGGGCCTGTGTGGGGCAGGCTGCCAGCTCCGTGGCCTCGCAACAGTGCTGCCATGTGCGGGGATGTGGTGCTGCTGGGCAGCGGTTGTGCAAAGCTGCTTTTGGCTGTTGCTTGTCCTGCCGATGGCCATGTCAGTGAATCTGGCTGCAGGGGCAGAGGGTGCCCATGTCGGGCGAGGCAGCCTGCTGGCTTCTCTCACTGGCCGAGGTGGCGGCCGAGGTGTCCTTTCCACCACCACTGGCCGAGGAAGTGTCTGCTCCTCTGTCCTCATGCTGCGGGGCAGCACCGCTCTGCACCTCACGCTGCCCACCTGCAAGAGAAGTCGAGGAGAGAGGCTCTGTGATAGTGTCTCTTGCGCCCGTATCCCAGCTGTTGGGAGCTCATGCAGTTGGGCTCCCCTGCCAGCCCCACGGCAAGGCTCAGGCCCACAGGTGGCTGCTGCCTGCTCCCAGAGCTGGCTGGGGAAAGGGCTGGCCACCCGCCGGCCATGGCCCCAGCCCACAGCAGCCCCGGCATGCCCGTGGTTGGGAAGGTGTTTGGCCCTGTCTCCCTCGGGGTCCCTACCTGTTCCTGCTGGGTCTCGATGGGCTGATACCTTCGTTGGTAGGGCAGCTGTGGTACCGTGATCCCACGCCGCCCTTCCTCAGGCTGTGGCCTGTGGCCCACCTGCAGGCAGGAGGAGGAGGAAGAGGTGTGTGATGGAGGCGGCTGCCTTGGCACAGCAGCCCCCGCAGTGCCGGCAAGCCCGGCCCCGGCCCCGAGGCAGCTCCATGTGGCCCCGTCCCACCACCGGCCTCTCACTCCTGCCCCAGCCCTCACCTGGCGCCTCCTTTGCACTCCTGGCCTGCCCTCGGCAGGCTGGGAGCGGGCGTTCGATCCCTTGTCCACTGGCATCTTCTGTGTCCTCGGATGCAGACTTGCTGTGGATTCACAGGGCAACTGCCACCTCTAGGGTGCGCCAGGGCCTTAAATACCCCACATAAGAGTCGTAACAATGCCCCCGTGGTTTCCACGGAGACGCCGATGCCCTCACCAGTTCCAAAGGGTCCCAGCTCCTCATGGGCAACTCCACAGCAACCACTGAAGCTTTGTGACAGCGGCAGCATCGTGCCCATGGCCACTGGGCAGTCAGGGATGCACTTTTCTCCTCCCTGTTTTTTTCCTTGACAAGAAGAAAAGGGAATGGAGAAAAGAAAGACCGGTAAAAGAAGGAAAAAAACAACAAAAATAATGAAATCATTCTTGTGAGACCTCACCTGGAGTACTGTGTGCAGTTCTGGTTTACTCAACATAAAAAGAACATGAAACCAACACCCCCAAGTCCTTCTCCGCAGGGCTGCTCTGAATCTCTTCTCTGCCCAACCTGTAGCTGTGCCTGGGATTGGTCTGACCCAGCTGTAGGACCTTGCACTTGGCATGCTTAAACTTCATGAGGTTGGCATCAGCCCACCTCACAAGCATGTCGAGGTCCCTCTGCATGGCATTCCTTCCCTCCAGCCTCCATTTTTAACACCTACCCACACACCAAGGATCTTTGCTTTGAGGCTTTTTCTCATGTTAGAAACCATCCCTCCCTCACCTCGTGTTTCCTGAGGAGTACCTGTCAAATTTACCACTACTAGCTACTTGGTTTCAACAAATGCCATCCATAGCTGTACAGCAATGGAACAGTTTGTTAAGTAGCCTGTGCTCCCTTTTCTGGCATCCTTGGTTTTGTCTTACCTAAAAGGGATCTACTTGCTGCCTGAATTAAGACTGAACAGCAGAGGTCCAACCTACTTTGATGTTAAATACAACCTGACACACACGAAACCTGATCTACATAAACATCTGAAGAAAATCTTTCTTATCATGCTTCTAATTTAGCCCCAGACAAAAAGACACCCTTCTACCTCATCACTTCTTGGCCTATGTTTTCACTTCGTCTCAGCCATTCCCACTTTAGCTGGGCAAACACAAGTGTCTCTTTCATTGCACAGGGCTGTGATGGCCACAGATCAAGCAGCAGCTCTCACTTGGCACTCATGGAAAAAGTATTAAATGCTTCAGTGATATGTATCTCACTCCAGTTAGCAGCAAGTCAGAGGGAAGAACATAATACTAAAGCATAAACACCCCATTCTGGATCTCCTTAAAAAGCTACCTCCCAAATCTGTCAGGAAGAGGTACAAAACTTCTTTCACACTGAAAGCTATCAGAAATTAGAATCACAGCATCACAGAATGGCTTGGCTTTGAAAGGACCTTAAGCTCATCCAGTTCCAACCCCTTGCCAAAGGCAGGGACACCTCACACTAGACATGTCTCTCAAGGCTCTGTGCAACCTGGCCTTGAACACTGCCAAGGATGGAACATTCACCACTTCTCTGGCCTCATCACCCTCACAGTAAAGAACTTCTTCCTTATATTAGCCTTGGGAATATTCATTCTGGCTGGGAAGAAATGATAGCACTTACCTGGTTCAGCAAGTAAAGGATTTTGGTAAGGATGTGCAGACATCTTCGTGGATTTATAGGGGTCTCGTTAAAGATACGAGCCTACAGACACAGCATAAAGAGAGTATTACAGTGTAACTCAACAATCATCATTTCTCTTTCATCATAAAAAGTAAAGCCGTTTGTTTTCAACCAAGTAGCTTTTCATTCTAAAAATGTGTCCCAGAGAACATATTCTTGGTGAGAACATCCTAAGAAAGCTAGATTAAACTTTGGATTTAGCCCAGTGTAAATTCCTTCTCTGATCTCTTTTGCAGAGTGTAAGAACTCAGAAGAGTTTTTATTCATTAATTTTTGTTCACTATAAACTGGCACCTCAGGTGTTTAGAGATTTGACTGAGGAATGTTGAACATGGAACTGTGTTGGAACTACAGAGTGCTTGGGACCTTTCTCATATCCATGTGTTGGAAGGGCGGGAGGGGTGGTTGATGTAAATGTGTTATTTGCTTTCCAAGAGTTAAAGTGTCAGTGCTCTTTGGATATTTGCTTTACAATAGCAAATAGATCAGAGGAAGTTGGGTTTAAAGCTTTTAAGTGATAACTGTGAGGCTTCTGCATTCAGATGTTTCACTTCTATCATGATTAACGTGGATTTTTGGTTTTAGTCTTATCTTACAAGATAGAGATATGTTTATTCTCCTGATTTGTTTGATAACTGACAGTAAGGCTATTCCCCAGTTATCAAACACAATTTAACTTGTGTGCTTTGTACACCACTGCTTTATCTTTGTATAGAAGTGGGGAAGAGGGTGTTCTATTTAAAAGCTTGCTCAAAATTTAAAGTTGAATATTTGAACTTTTATTTAACTTCAAAACTTGTAGGAAGTGTTTATTTATGCTTGCCATTGGAACAGGCTGCCCAGGGAGGTTGTGGAGTCTCCATCTTTGGAGACATTCAAAACCCGCCTGGACACATTCCTGTGTAACATTATGTAGGTGTTCCCGCTCCGG